CGTGTTTCCAGAGAATATGTGGTTATTGTGTCGAATGTTTCAGTCTTGCTCTCAAGGAACTTCATTCAATCTACATTTTGAGACAAAGGCTATTTATAAAAGTCATGCTCATCCTTCACTTGCTATTAAGAGAAATATTTGGGTATCACATTCCCCTTGGAATGGAGAGCAAGAATACCATTATTTAATTTTGTGAAGATGCAAATATTTTCACTGAATGAATGGAAGGATCTCACACTTGGGACACTTATTCACTTTGGGAAGAACTGTTGGCCTAGAGGATAGGAGAGACTTTCCATACCTTGCCTATTTTTCTTATTTGCTCATTTGCATCAAGGCAGGAGAATTCAGCAGTCATCCTCCTCTAAGAAAGCTGCCCAAGACTTTCTATCTCATATCTTTCCACATATCACAAGGTCAGTCAGATGAACCACATTTAAGCATACAGTTGTACAGAGCTCTGCAGTATGTGTTGTGAGAATTACCAGGGAAGTAAGTTAAGATCTTATTCTAAGGAGTTCCAAAAAAATGCAGACAGGAATCTGAATTTAAGTACATAACTATAAGATTAACATAAATCAGACTTCCGCCAAGATGGAGGCATAGGTGGAAATACTTTTCTTCCTCGCACAACCAAATCTAAAAACAACAAAGTTTTAATAATAATAAACGCAACCAAACCACAGAAAATCAAACAATACAGAGTCGGAAAATAACAAAACGCTCAGCTAAACCGGTGAGAGGGGCGAAGCCAGCAGTGGAGTGGGTTGGGCAAAAAAGATCCCCCGACCCGGGCAGCACACAGGCAGCTGAGGGTGTGAATCCCAGGTACGGGGTAGCTACGGGTGGACCCAGGGAAGGCGTGGTGAGGCTGGCTGTCTATGGTCGCACAGTTGCCCACAGATAAACCAGTGAAGAGGTGAGCATTGAGACAGACTGCGCAGGCCCCCACACAGGGTGGCGGGCTCGCACTTTTGCAACCGGATAAGCAGGAAGGGGCGAGCGGTGAGGCAGACCCGGTGAGTGGAGAGGACTGCCATTGCTCTCTCTCTGACCCCACCCCCACATACAGTGCCACAAACCAGTGACCTGGGTGGCCCCGCCCTGGTGAATATCTAAGGCTCTGCTCCTCATACGTAACAGGCACAAACAGATCAAAACATGGCTCAAGAACAACTCAGAGCCCCAGAGCCAATAAATCTAAGTGATGAAGAAATAGCCAAACTTTCAGAACTGGTTGATTTTAGTCACACATTAGAGGAACATATGAAGGCTAAACCAATTGAAATGAATGGAAATGCACAGGAAACCAAAAGTAATAGAAAGAAAACTGGGACTCAAGTCAAGGGAGCAGACCAGAAGGAAGGAAAAAGTGACCAAAGAGAAAAATATGAAGAAACAAGAATTCAAAAAAATGAGAAGAGGCTTAGGAACCTCCAGGACATCTTTAAACGCTCCAACATCTGAATTATAGGGGTACCAGAAGGGGAAGAGGAACAGTCATGAGTAGAAACCTTATTTGAACAAATAATAAAAGAGAACTTCCCCATTCTGGCAAAGGAAATAGACTTCCAGGAAATCCAGGAAGCCCAGAGAGTCCCAAAGAAGTTGGACCCAAGAAGGAACACACCAAGGCACATCATCATTACATTAGCCAAGATTAAAATGAAGGAGAGGATCCTAGACGTGGCAAGAAATGAGGGGACAGTCACCTACAAAGGAGTTCCCATCAGACTGTCAGATAATTTCTCAAAAGAGACCTTCCAGGCAAGAAGGGGCTGGAAAGAAGTATTTCAAGTCATGAAAGCCAAAGACCTACAACCAAGATTGATCTATCCAGCAAAGTTTTCATTTAGAATGGAAGGACAGATAAAGTGCTTCTCAGATAAGATCAAATTCAAGGAGTTCATCATCACCAAGCCCTTATTATATGAAATGTTAAAGGGACTTACCTAAGAAGAAGAAGATAAAAAAGATGAACAGTGAAAGGACAGCAAACTCACAGTTATTAAGAACCACACCTAAAACAAAAGCAAACTAAGAGGACAGCTAGATCAGGACCAGAACCATAGACATGAAGATCACATGGAGGGTTAGCAATAGGGGAGTGGGAGAAGGAGAAGGGGAGAGAAGGTACAGAAAATAAGTAGCATAGACAGTAGATAGAAAATAGATAGGGGGGAGGGTAAGAATAGTAGGGGAAATAGAGAATCTAAAGAACCTGAGACACGTGTTCATGAACTAAAGTGGGGGGAATGGTGGGGGAGGGATGTACAGGGTGGAGGGGAATGAAGGGGGGAATAGAACAAATGTAATGGCATAATCAATAACATAAATATATTTTAAAAAGATTAACATAAATCATACCACATCACAAATTGCCACATGACATAAGAAAAAAACATTTTACCTACTGTTTTAATTAAGGTTAATTTTATGATGAACAGAACTTTTTCTGGGGCTTGCCCAAAGGTCATGTTACAATCTACAAAAGAATAAAAAGGTGATTTTTGTAGTTTTACATTAAATATATATTAAAATGTATTCATGATATTATAATAATGAGGCCTGAAAGGATAGTTTGGTGTTTTTTCTATAGTAAATTTTCCTATTGTCTTGCATTGAATCCCTTTGAAAGAGTGTTATTCTGTGAGCTTTCTAATACTGATTCTTTATGTGACATGAATTATGTAATTTTTAGAACTGGAAAAACAGTTATTTACCATTTATGTGTTGCAGGAATGCAGAAGACAGAAGGGCTGATAAGAAATATTGAATAATGGCTTGACTCCAAAACTACCTTTCTAGGCCACACTTTGGTAAACACTGAATTAAAAATCACACATCCACGGAACATTAAGGAAAGAAAGAACTCGAAGATTGTCTAGTCTACCCTTATCATTTGTGCAGATCCAGAAACAAACCAGGGAACTAAGTGGCTCATCCAAACAGTCAAAAGCAAGTTCATAACTGGACCTGAACTGAAACCCAAGTAGTCTGTCTCATGGTTCTGTTTGTTTCTCCAAATTCTCCTAGTTCTCTAAATAGTATAGTTTAAGCTTTAAAGATTTTTTGTAAAGGTACTAGAACCAAATGGTTCAACATTTAGAAAAGGTATGCAGTAAAAAAAGTACATTTTTCATCTCTTGCCCCTTTTAGTTACTTCTCATCAGCTCCCCTGCCCCTGAACACATCCTTATGGAGGTAATCTCCTTCAGGACATTACTCAGAATCACCATTTCATTCAGTCTTCCTTGCACATTCTACTTCAACTGAAACCCATACTCTCAATGCTCTGGGCCCTGTTTCCCTCCTTTAACTCCTCCACAGAACCAATCACCCTTTACCATATCGTGGGTTTTACTTTTTTGGCTTATTGTCTCTCCACACAAGAATGTGACATACACAGAGGAAGGAGTCTGTTTCTTTACCTACTACAGGATCCAGCAAAAATAATGCCCCTTTTTATTACAAAATCATAAGCATGTAATTCTGTAATGTAACAATATCACTCTCAAGCACACCATGTGACATTTTAAGTGAAATGTTCCAATTAAAACTATAAATTTTTACAGCTGTATTATTACCCACCAGCCACACTGAAGCAAGCCTTACTTCTGTGGAACCCTGTATATCTCCAGTGCTTAGCGGGGGCTCAAGAAATGTTTGTTGGATGAAGTTGAACAACTGGGAGTCTAAGTACTGGTGCTGTTTAGAATATCTGTCCTTGAATATTCTATAATTTCTGCTCTCTGAGTAATGATGCTATGTTGTTTAGTATGTGGATATTCGTAACCATTACTGTACGTTATAGACTTGTACCACTTGATGTTTTCACCAGGAGATGCATCTTAGCTGATAATGAAATTATGCCTCTACATTTTTTGATTTGCATTAGCATGGTTTTCTTTTGTCCATCTTTTAACTTTTGCATTGTATCGTTATGTTTTCTGTTTTTATTCCCAGTGTTTTTTGTGCACTTTCACTATGTGGTCTCTGATTTTGGTATATGTGTGTATCATGTGCATGGCTGTGCACATGCACACTGGCGTTTAGTGTTCAGGGATATTTTTCTATTATTATAGTTTTAACACCCTTGTTTTTTTTTTACTGATTTTGAAAGTGTCTATTGGTTCCAAATAATAGTAAGATTGGTACATTTTCCTCTTTCTTCCTCTCTCTGTTTTCCAACATTTGATTATCTCTTTTATTTTTCATTTTTGTACTATTGAATATGAACAAATTTATATTACTTAACTTGCTAAGTTTAAGTGATATATTTAGTATTTTATATACATGCTATTCTAGATGAGACAATCAGTAAGAATTCCTATATACCTAATTTTTTCTATTCTCCAATGAATTTTTGTGTCATATTTATTATAATATATTGGAGAAAATAAATTATTATACCAATTTAGGAAATGGATAACCCATGTGTTTGATTTCCTATTGTTGCTGTAACAAATACCACAAAATTAGTGACTTAAATCAACCCAGATTTATTACCTTATGGTTCCAGATGCCAAAAGTCCAAAATCAGTCTCACTCTAAAGTCAAGGTTTGGCAGGGATGCTTGCTAAGAGTGGCCGCTATGGGAGAATCCACTCCCTTGCCTTTTCCAGCTTCTAGTCAGCCTGCATTCCTGAGCCCATGGCTCCTTCCTTCTATTCAAAGCCAGCAGATTGGCATGGTCAAATCTTTTTCTGCTTCAGTTGTTACACCACCTCCTCTGACCCTGATCTTCTGCCTCTGTGTATAAAGGCCCTTATGATTTCATTGGATATACCTGGATGAACCATGATAATGTTCCTTTCTCAAGAGTCCTAATTCATTTCCATTTGCAGAATCTTATGCTATATAAGGTCAAATATTTACAGGTCTCAGGATTAGGATGTGGGCATCATGGAGGTGGTATTTTGGGGGCATTATTCAACCTGACATTTGATGCTATACTATACAGTGACAAAATACTTGATAAAACATTCACTTACCATAAACGGAAACATTTAAAATATGCCCATTGATCTTATGATCCCAGGTAGAATGGAAGGTTGGGCAAGATGGTTCCAGGAAGAATATCAGAAGGAAATTTTGTTGCTTTGTGCTACCTATGATAAGGTACAACAAAATGAGCTCAGAAAAGTGAGGGCATTTGAGCAAGTTAGCTTTTGTTTAATTGAGGTAAATTGACACACAACATTATGTTACTGGCTTCTCCAAAAAGTTTGTTTAGTTTTTTTCTGTACGACAACTCTAGCAGTGCTTAGCTGTCTTTAACTTCCTTGGAAACAATTTTATTAGATTGTATTGTGACAGTTGTCATACCAGTGTGCATTTAAAAAAATCAAAATTGGTAAATTTTTGTGCAGCCATTTTAATATTGAAGATGGAAGAAGATACCCAAACTTTTCAAGGTATTATTCTTCATTATTTCATGAAAGGTAAAAATACAACTGAAGCACACGAAAAGATTTATGCAGTGTATGAAGAAGATGCTGTGACTGATCAAATGTGTCAAAAGTGGTTTGCAAAATTTCTTGGAACTCTTGACATTTTGGCCAAATAATTCTTGGCTGTGGGGCTGTCATGCATTGGAAGGTATTTAGCAGCATCCCTGGCCTCTAACCACTAGAAGCCAATAGTCAGAGATACTGACATACTCAAAATGTCCAAATCAATAAAGATATTGGTGAAAATAAAAATGTTTCTTTTATAGAAAAAATAACCATTGGCCAACCCAATAGTTTCAGGGGTACAGGATAATGATTCGATATTTGCAGATATTACAAAACAATCAGAACAATAAATGTTTAGTTAACATGCATCACCATGCAGTTATGAATTTTTTCTTGTGATGAGAGCTTTTAAAATTTACCCTCCTATCAACTTCCAGATAACATCACAGTGTTATTAATTGTGGTCACCCTGCTGCACATTATGCCCACATGACTTATTTTGTAACTGGAGTTTGTACTTATTGACCCCCTTTATCCATTACAGGAGGGCCTTTTGCAACACTAAAACTTGAGTTCTTGTATGTTTCTTACGTCCTAAGATCGCAATTCTCTAGATAATACAGTGTCCCCAAAAGGAGACAACCATGTGGAGAAAATTTGGATCCACAGGCTTTCTGAATCCGAGCGTTCCCAGCCAGACTGCAGATTCTTCAGTGCTGAAGATGATTGTGTGAACCACTAATTTCTTGTGTGATGGTGGTAATGGGTGAATTTCAAATAACATATTTTATGTATTTATATTTCCTTTGTCATCATAAGTGATATTCTTTGGCTTCTAGATATTTCAAAAGAAATATCTAGACAGAATCAAGAAATTCTTCTGTCTTTTCCAACATGCTCTTTCCTAACTTATTTTTCATTATTTCTTTATCATTAGGGATTATACTTTTGCCTATTTTGATGTAACTCTGATCATTTTGTTTGTTTTGCAGTTAAAAATATTCTATGCTTTCTTCCAGTTTTCTTGTGATTTTTTTTATCACTTTTCTTAATTAACTGAAATCTCTTCCTCTAGCGTTTTTTTAAAGGCCTCTTGGGAATAAAATTCATGTTTCTTGCATGTGCAACACAATTATTGGTGAGTTTTATACTTGAGTATAGCTTGTCTTAATATAAAATCCATGGTTCATGCTTTCTCTTCTTAAGTGCCATTTAGGTAACTTCTCCACTGACTGCTGGTATTGAAATTTTCCATGGAGAAAACAGAGACCAGGATGATTTGTTTTTCTCTCATAAGTAATCTGATACTTTTGCTTGTCTCTGTACCTTTAATGTCCAATGTTTTTAATGGACTATGTCTTGGCCTATTTTAGGTCAGATTTTTTTTATGACACAAAGTGTTCTTTTTTTGTTATAAAAAGATAAGTCCTGTTTTGTAATCTTTTTCCTGTGGTAAAGCATAGTTGATGTAACATTTACTATTTTAACCATTTTTAGGTACTGTTCAGTAACATTCAGTACATCCACATCACTGTGCGGTCATTACCGCCACTCACCTCCAGATTTGTTTCCGTTTTTCTCAAACTGAAACTCTGGGCCCATTAAACACATTAAACCCATTAAAGCCATTCCTTTCTCTCCCAACTTCTGACAAACACTCTTTACCATTCATATTTCTGTCTCTATGAATTTGACCTCTTTAGATATATTGCACATAGATTGAATCATACAGTATTTACTCTTTTGTGATCTTTTATAATTAAAAAATTATATCTTTAGGAATACTTTTCTGTTTTTGTTTTACCTTGCTTTTCTTATGAGGGACTCAAATTAAGCATATACTGAGAATATTTCCACCTAAATTGAATAGCTAATACTTTAAGTTATTTTTAAGTCTTTCTCTTTTATTTTTTACTCTTCTAGACTCTTACTACTTTTTTTCTAAAGTGACCATTCTTCTTCATGACTTTCATGTTTATTTCTGCAATTATTTTTTCCTACTTCTCTTCTGAGGTAAGACAGCTCATGTTTCAGCTCAAAAATTTCTTGATATCTTTTACCTGAGTTCTTTACTTGTGTAATGTTACAGAGGCCCTTGTTTCATGAGGTATGGGGCTGACTTTGCCCTCAAGTCCCCCCATCTGCCACAGATGAAAGTAACACTACCAAGACATGATCTGCTTGGGGAGGAGAGGTGGCCAGTTTCTCAGAGGAGAAAGAACAGGAGCCTCTTCCTCAATGACTTTAACTAGGTTATAATACACAGGAATACAGGTGGCAAGGATCAAACAATAGATAACATTTCAGAGAAATCTGAGGGCTTAGTCTGAGTCAGAGTCTGTCAGGAAGGGGGTTTGCAGAAAATATAGGGTTTCCTGCTTGGACCCTTAACACATGAATGAAAGCACTCTTATCAAAGCAGTCTTCACAGGATTTTTAGGAATTCTTTCTTGTGCCAGATTTCCCTGGATCTGCTCTAGCAAGGCAAGGAGCTGCACCCCTCCCCATCAGGCTTTCAGACTTAAGTGGATTAGAGCCAGGAAGTGCTTCTCCCAGAGGATGTGGGCACTTGGGCTATGTCACATAGCCAGGGAGCAAGGGTCTATTACTTGCTCTTTGTTGCAGTCCCCAAGTCCTTCCATGATGGCCTCCCAAGTGATCAGTCTGGCTTAGGTTGCCCCTCGCTGTGAGGGGTCTTACTTGTCTCTGACTTCTGACCATACTTTGGGGGCAAGGAGAGGAAACTGAGGCAGTATTTGCTACCAGAGAAAAGCTTTGTCTCCTGTGGCTCGCATTCCAGAGGTCTCTCACTCATCCTTGGTCATGGGGGATAGTTATAATTCCTGAAACCAGGCAGAGCAGTCCCCAACAATGAGGTGTTTTTTTTTCAGTTCATGCTGAAATATGTGTCTGTGATGTTCATGGGCACCACAACTAATGTGTTTACTCTGTAGTGTGCTTTATGCTTCATTTTGTATATTATCTTTGTATAGATGCTGTCTTAGTTCCTTTTGTATTACTCATCATGGGATAAATTGGAGTTTTCCTGGACAAGTTATTTGCAGGAATTTTCTGTAGAGTTAGATACTCCAAATTATCTTTCCTCTGCTGACAAATAACTCCCTAGGCTGCTTTGTGCTAAAATTTCTGGGAAATTTTATTTAGCTCTCCCTCCTCTGCCCCTTTCACTCAGACCACTTCCGGTGTGGGGGCAGGGGTGCCATCAGTGCTGCTCAGGCTTGTTCCTACTCCCGTTGCTGCAAAAAAGGGGCTATAGTCCCAACTCACAACAAGCCACTTACCTTCGGGAAATATGTTTTTGCTGGTGCTTACTGAAATATGCTGCTGCTGAGCGATTTGATAACTCCTGTATTATTCTCTGTTATTTCTCCTATGTAGCTTCTCTCCAATGCATTCGCTTCAATTCTGCTTCCTAGTTCCCCCTGAAAATGCAGTTAGAGAGGTTTCTATTATCACTGTGGCTTTTGCATGATTTCTAGCAGGAGAAATGGAAGTTATGTGCTGGGAAATTCCCTTAATCATTTCTAATCTGAGCTCCAGGAAGTATTATAAGTTTCAGATTGGTAAATAAGTGACTTTCACATTGTATCGTGTAGCTCTTGTGGTTAGGTCCCACGACATTACCTGTAGTGTGGTTCACGGGACTCTTCTAATGTTTTCTTTGTATTTATCTTCTTGTTTATTCCTGTATCCCAGGGAGTGCTTATTATAATATCTGTCACATAGTAAGTGCTTAACCGATGTTTGTTGAATCTAGTTGATGAATGAATTGTGGATGTTCTATGTCAAAATAATGGTGAAATTTTATGACAGTGAGTATTTTATCTATCCATTTCTTAATTGATTTTTGTTGAAATTGTAAAGCAAGACTTTTAAATATGGCCATTGATCGACTACAAATTTAGACAACAATAGTCCTGACATATAAAAATAACTCCTGCATACGATGAGAAGTGCATTTTACCAACTATATAGATTTAATTGGATGTGCAAAATAAAACGATGGTATAACAAATGTTTTGTATTTGTCTTCGTATCTGAGATCATTTACTTAAACATTTGAATTTATCTGTTTCTTTTTACCTACTTCAATAGTTTAAAAGGTTCACATTATGGGAATGAACTAATCAATAACGAATTGAAACTCTTTGCTGTTTTCTTAGCAGAGCACACAATGTACCATTTATATGGACTTTCCCCCAGTGGTTAAGTGATTCTTTATTTTAACTTTTTAGTTTTCTTGCTCTGTCTTTATATCATATTTAAATTGACATGATATTAAAGCAGCAATTTATGTAATTACAAAGAGTTTTCTAATCTCTGGATTTATACTGATATGTAATCTTCTCAAGATGAAATAAAAGCTATTGGTTAGTATGCTGGGCAAGAAGATACCAATTTTCAATTATCATCCAGTGTAAAGTAAGCCTACTGAGCACGAATAGTATATTTGGTATTAATTATATTAATGTAATTGCTTTTTATTAATTTTAATACTTAACCAATGAGATCATATCTGGAATGGAATTTTCAAGGTTTGCAGACATTTATCATAACCTCCCTTGAATTTTATTATAAAAAATATAAAATGTAAATGCATTTTATATTCTTCACATTTGCATATGTTAAAAAATTCAATTTCTATTTCTTAAGAATAAAATGTTTTGTTGAGTTGGTGAAACATTAATTCTAAAATATTTTATTAATACTTATTGCTCCTACAATATTTATAATGTTAAATAAAAAGGCATTATTTGATTTATTTCCATGTAAGAAAAGATATGTTTCCTCATATTCCATTTTGCTATATGGGGAATATATTTAGGTGAACTACAAAATTAATATATTTCCAATCGAGGAGTAAATAACCCACATGAATAAATTCTGGAGATCTAGTGTATAACAATGTGACTTATTCTTAAATACTGTATGACATTCTTGAAATTTGCTAGAAAGGTTGATCTTAAGCATTCTCACCACATATACATGAACAAAAGGTAATTATGAAATGATGAATATGTTAATTAGCTTGATTGTGGTGATTATTTTACAATGTGTATGTATACCAAAACATTAAGTTATATGCCTTAAATATACACAATTTTTATTTGTCAATTGTAACTCAATAAACATGGGAAAAGGTAGGAATTTTTAAAAAGTGAGTCAGTTAACCTAGCCTACCTGAGGGAAGTGGGGTACAACAGACCATGAACATTCAAACGCAGTACTTATTTGGGGCTATTTTAGAGACTGTTTAAAAGTATCAAGAGTGATACTGAAGACGTTAACATAGACTTTAGGAGGGCATTTAAATTCTCCCAGTTCTAAACTTAACTCACATTACATTTAAATATTTAAGAATACGCATACATAATTATTGTAAGCACTCTGTAAAAGAGCAATACCTATTAGAAACTGTAAGAGTGAATGTTCCATAGATATTTTTCTCCAGAATTTAATCATCTCCAAGAAGTGAAACTTTTCCCCTTTGATAACAAATGTCTCCCCATTTCCCCTCACCCTGAGTCCCTTCGCAACTGTCCCTCTATTCTCTATTTCTAAGACTTTGACTATACTAGAAGTACTGAAATGGCACATCCAAGGTTAGGACTTGAAACTTCTATGCCTTCCATCTGGAATGTTCTCTCTCTGCCCCTCTCATTACTGGTCAGCAGCACTGTGCAGAGGCCCCTGTGGCCCAGCAAAGAAATGAGGCCCTCAGTGCCATAGCCTGCAAGGTACTGAATGTTCTGATAAGCACTCGAACCAGTGAACTGAAGAGGTCGTTTGAGCCCCAGATCAGTTCTGAGATGTGGCCATGACTTACAAGTGACAGCAACTTCACGAGAGGCCTGTGCCAGGCCATGAAACAAGATGTATCCAGATTCCTGACCCTTAAAAACTATGACATAATAAATATTTGCTGTTTAAGCTGCTAGGTTTTAGGGTGATTTGTTATGTAGCAGTAAGTGGGGAAATATGAAAGTGTGCACAATCTCATCTACTTCACAGAATAACATTTATAAAGTATTTAGAAGTATGTCTGGTATACTTAGCTGTTTTTTAAGTCAAAATGACTGTTATTAAGCAGGAAATAATGGATATTGATGTGGATAGAAAGCACTTACATTTCAGTCATTTTTATTCATTCTTCACATTTAATTTATTGCCAGATTTTGTTGATTTTTCTTCCGAAATTATCTCCATGTCTCTTATAACGTCCTTGAATCTGCTTTTCTTTCCTTCCACCCTAAAATCTGCTTTCCACACTGTAAATAGGTTCTTTTCAACCAGAAACAGGTCATTTCATTCTTCAGCCATCATTCTCCATAGCTTTTCAAAGCTCCTCATGATTTTGGAAGAAAGGAAGGAAAGAAGGAAGGTAAGAAAGAAAGAAGAAAGGAAGAAATACCTTACAAGGCTCTTTGTTCCTGGCCCCTGCCTGTGCTTTTTGGCATTTTCTTTCTAACTCTCTCAACACTGTACCTGAACAGGTCTTGTTTTAGTTTACTTCGTAGTTATACCGTGACTTCTCTCCCCACAACTTTCTTGCACATAATTCTTTCTCCTGCAGGGAACATATGCACTCCTTCAGTTGACTCCTTTCTTTCAGCTTCAAATTAATCATCACTTCCTCTTTCATCTTAGGAATTACTTATTTTGAGACCAATTACCATCAAAAGTAATGCAATTATTCTGACAAAACACATCATAGTTTGTGATAAGGTAAATTAATTGTTTTTTAAATAAATATTTGCTTCTCTCACTATATTGTAAACTTTTTAAAAGTGGCGATTAGGTCTGTTTTATTGTTGTGCAAAATTTGATTTCAAGCTTCCAGCTTATGCCTGATACATAGAAGGTATTCAAGAAATACTTGTGGGGTGAAGAGCAGAGTGGTTGCAGTGCAGCCCGGCAGTAGTGGCGGTGGCAGCAGTGGCATCAGCAGCATCAGCAAGGGTCTGGATCTGAGAATGTTGGCCTCACAGGCTGAGAACACATGGAAATGAGCTGGAGGCAGTGCGGGTGCCACTGGGCACAGCACCCAGGTGGAAATGAGTTCTCAACAGTTTCCTTGGTTTGGAACTCCTTCCAGTGGGCTAAGCCAGGCTCCTTCACAGATTGCAAACAGTGGTTCTACAGGACTGATAAACCCAGCAGCTGCAGATCACAAAAAAGAGTAGGAGGAAGCGGTGAACACCAGGATATCTACTGGAAGAGGAAACCCAACAACAAAGGAACCACAACAGATAGCAGCAGAAGAAGGTGAAGGAGGGAGTGGAAACCACGCAAACCTCAATCCAGGATCTATCTGGAAATACAACTAAATAGTGGAGAAACTACCCAGTACAGACAACTGAATAAGAGCAAAAGAGAATCCTCAAAATCTTGTATACACGGAAGAACTAGCTTCAACACAGCCTGCCATCACCAGCACAATGAAATACAAGAGGTGGTGGACAGAGTGACCCTCAGTTAACCACCTGGTGGGAAGGACCCACCAAAGAAAGACCCCAAAACAATCAAAACCTAAAGACAAACATAGAGCCAACTTAAACAACAGCCCAAGACCAGTGAGCTTGGGAGATCAAGGAGACTACACCACTGAAACTCACAGGTATTCTACTACAGAAGTTCACACCATAAACCCAGGAACCAGAACAGATCAATTTAAGAAGCTGAAGCTAACAAGAAGACTCTCACAATGGGAAGACAAAGAAACAATCCCTAAATGAAAAGGAAGGAGGAAGCCTCAGAAAGAATATTAAATGAAATAGAGGCAAGTCAACTATCAGATATTGAGTTCAAAGCAATGGTTATCAGGAAGTTCAATGAGCTCACAAAGAGCTACCAGAAACTACAGGGAAACTACAGTGAAGTCACTGCAAACTATAACAACATGAAAAAGAAAATAGAAATGATCAACAAGGGCCAAGAGGAAATGAAGAATACAATTTCTGAACTGAAGAGTGCAGTGGAATCAAAAGAAGATTTTGTTTATCTTTTTTGAAAAGATAAAATCAACAAGCCTTTAAGCAGGCTCATCAAGAAAAAAAGAGAGAGGACCCAATTAAACACAATAAAAAATGAAAGAGGAGAGATTACATCTGATGCCACAAAACACAAACCATTGTAAGAAACTACTATGTAGAACTGTATGCCAAGAAATTTGAAAACCTAGGTGAAATAGACAAATTTTTAGAAAAATACAATCTTCCAAAACTCAATGAAGAAGAAGCAGAAAGCCTGAACAGACTAATAACCGCAGCAGTAATAAAAAAACTCCCAACACGCAAAGCCCTGGACCAGATGGTTTCACGGGAAAATTCTACAAAGCATTTAAGGAAGAGCTAACTCCTGTTCTTCACAGGCTATTCCAAAAAATCCAAAATGATGGAAGAATCCCAAACTCTTTTTATGA